AAAAAAAAAAAAAAAGGGAACAATAAATCAAGAATAATTTTTTACAACATTTAAAAAATCTATTCTCAAATCAATATTAAATTGTCCAGTAAATAAAAAAAGTTTTGTTACTTATAAATATTTTTCATCGATTAATAGCTTTGCCTTTAATGACTGACTCAATTTCTTCTTGTGTAAGAGTTTCATATTCTATCAAGGCATTTGCCAGTCGATGTAATTCGTCTTTATGAGTTTTCAAAATATTTGCCACCCGAATTTGAGCATTCTAATATCAATTTTCATTAGTAATTTTATTAATAATATAAAGACAGATGCACGTATGCATAAAACAAACCTCCAATAATGACTTGATTTCATTTTCAATAACTAATTTAGTCTGAGAACTTAAATGTTCCATGTCTTCTTCGGGATGAGCTACTGGACCAACCTAAACGTATGTACGATAATATTAATGAAATATATAAGTTGCATAATGGCAAGGACATATGTTAGTAATACGTACCTTATCACTCATGCCATATAATGTTACCATCCTTTTGGCAACATTCGTTGCGTTCACAATATCATTATGTGATCCCGTTGTAACGTTTTCTTTACCAAAAATCATTTCTTCCGCAACTCTTCCACCCATAGCAACGTCAACCATTGCAAGAAATTCTTTTTTGGTGTAATTATCTTTATCCATTTCAGGCAATTGTACTGTCTGTAGGAAAAAACACAATATTCTTAACACAATTAAATTTATAAAGAATAAACGTTAATGCTTATTACTAACCATGCCAAGAGTAGCACCCCGTGGCATAATTGTAGCCTTATGCAATGGTAAAGCTCCAGGCGTATACAAAGCCACCAATGCATGTCCACCTTCATGATATGCAGTTAATTTTTTATTTTCACTAGTTATTATGGCAGATTTACGCTCAGCACCCATAAGTATTTTGTCCTTGGCATATTCCATATGTCGCATTGCAACCTCTTGTGCACCATCTCTCGAAGCTTGAATCGCCGCTTGATTAACCAGATTAGCTAAATCTGCGCCTGAAAAACCTGGTGTTCCACGTGCTATAACGCTAATTTTTACATCATTTGAAATTTGAACATTTTTTAGATGATGCTCCAAAATTTGCATTCTACCATGCACATCTGGAAGTGGCACAGCTACATGTCTATCGAAACGACCAGGTCGGACTAATGCTTTATCCAGAAGTTCAGGAAAATTTGTTGCAGCTATGAAAATAACACCTTCAGTTTGCGAAAATCCATCCAAATCAACCAATAATTGATTAAGCGTTTGCTTCATATATGTTTGATCCTTCGGATTGCGTTTTGAGCCAATTGCATCCAACTCATCTATAAAAACTATGCTTGGCGCCTTGCGTCTCGCAGCAGCAAAAAGTTCACGCACTCTTCTTGCACCAACTCCAACATACATCTCATCAAATTCTGAGCCGGACATAAAAAAGAATGGCACACCAGCTTCTCCTGCAACGGCACGTGCTAATAATGTTTTTCCAGTACCTGGAGGACCAGTAAGTAAAACACCTTTTGGAAGTCTCCCTCCTAAACCTGTAAACTTTGAAGGGTCCTTTAAGAATTCAACCAATTCCTCCAACTCTTCCTTGGCTTCATCAACACCATGCACGTCAGAAAATTTAACCACCTGCTGTGAAGACGGTTCAAATTCCGACTGTGATCCGCCAGTCTTTAATAGTCCCGAATTTTCCATAGCAATACTAAGAAAAGTGATGATACAAAAGGCATACGTGAATGTAATGCCAACCCAGCGTAAAGCACGCCAAAACATATATCCCCGTGCTGAGTTTTAAAAAAAAAAAAGGCAGCAAAATATTAGCCTACAATAGCAGCATTAATAATTTTGTAACATTGTATGAAAAACCCTCACCTCCTTCGATTACAACATAAATAGGGTTTTCTTTATTACCAGCATTTGATGCTGCAACTGATGGACCACCTTCTGTAGTAGTTTTTTTTCCTTGGCTTTTAACAATCGTGTGTACCAAATCGTTCGTTGAAGTTGCTCTCGTTGAAGCTTAGTTAAGACATACATATGTTAGGAGGTTTATTGTACGAAACCAGTAGCAGTATATAATATCATCTACCTCCATCAACACCGGTAACACCAGATTGTTCTAATTTCTGTATTATTTTTGGTAATACTTTGTCTGCTTGACCTGCTTTAGCTAATGCAGTGATATATGCTCGAAAACATTCATCATCATGCGCAAAATTTCCACGTTCGAATCGAGCAATAACCACATTATGATTATTAGATCTAAGTAGTTCCTAAAATTAAATAAATCAAGATGTAGATGATCATGAAATTTCATCTTTTCCAGAATTTGGAAAACCCAAATGTTTTTTGTTTTTGTCTTTTTTTTTAACGCTTAACGAAGATAATCACCTACTTTATAATATTCAACCTGTTTAGTCGCGTCATTGGGAAATGAATTTGCCTCAGCTTCCAGTAATTGCAATCGTCGTTGATTAAAGACTCTAATAGTGTTATTTGTTCCAAAATACCGACGACTAATTGCGAGCTGTGAAATACCTAGTAATATAGATCAAAATTAATGTGATCATTAAGATACAAATTGAACGCGTCTGATAAAATAAATGGATTAAAATTGGTATAGTTTTAAGATTTTGCTAGTAAAACGACTCCAGGACTATGATCCGATTTGAATAAACCTTTTATTTCGTAGAACGAAAAAAAATTATTCCCAATTGGATCATATGGATAGTTAACAAGTTTAAATTTTGTTAATAAGATCTATACAGTCTTGGAGTCATTTTCCTAGTAAAGATCCGTTTGTCTTACCTCTCCGATAGAACGTTGATATTATTGAAGTGTCTACAGCTCTTAATAAACCGTTTGTCGTAAACGGTGACATCCCAGATATATTATCTAATTATTATTACAATGCAGAAATTATAAGATAAAAATTCACGTGATCGGGGCATTTAATTTAATTTGATCATCTGCCCAAAGAGTCTACTGTATTTTATTACCGTTAATTGTTACGTACAGTTCTGCAGTTATGACGTATTTTTATGTACTGTATATATATATAATCTAAGTTAGCTTTTTTATTTTTCCATTTCCCTTTCACTTGAATTAATACTCGCCTCTCATTATTGCAAGGAGTAATGAGATAATTATGAAACTAATCTTCGTAACGAAACAAGCGACGCGCTGGAATGACCACGTGAGTACTGCGGAAAAGCCTGGGACTCTACAGACAATCTTAATTACTGCACTTCATCCAATTAATTTCTCACTATATATATTGCTACTACATTTAATTAGGATAGCGGCGCGATGTAGTCGTGCTTAAACCAGGAACATAGTATGATCGCTAGGCTTTATAAACATATCAATATAATTTTTGCGTTTATTTAAGCTGAAATCAAAGTTTACTACGTATGCTACTTGCCTGCGTATGACATATGTATTACTTATTTACTGCCTGATATCATCAGCGAATGGAACCAAAGGAACTCTGAATGGAGTCAATGGATACTAGTTTTTTGAGCTTCATTAGCAATAACCATTGACTCCATTGCCAACCCTGCCGGTATAGGTAAATTTTGGTAGTTGATAAAAAATTTATTTGTTTTTCATATTTTTTGGGAAGCTTGCGCAACCTTATATTTTCAAATTGAGACCCTTAAATTTCACCATCCGATTTCACGATCATCCGAGAAAAATAATACACAATGAATTTTTAATATTGCCCACATTGTACTGTCTTACTAATTACATACTATTTAAAGTTTCTCATTTATGCATTATGATTGCAAACTTAAAATTTCACAATGATCTTTAATAAACTTTTACTAATTTCTTTGATTTTTGGATTTATGAATCATGCTGTCAGTGATAGCCCAGGAGTAAGAGAGTGCCACTGTCTCTTTACATATAATAATTCTGTCTATTTGTTTGGTGGTCATATTAAATGGAATACATGGGCAGTAAACTCATTCTTTCATACCGCAAAAATGCCATTTGTAACATCTTCAATTCCATGGGTAGCCCTTAATACTACCAATGCATTTAAAATTTGCGACATGACATGTGTTGTCGAGCCTTCAATGGGTTTGTTGTTAGTTATTGGTGGGTCTTGGGCACAAGATCCAAGTTATGAAGGATTTCAAGTTTACAATTTTAAAACAGATGTTTGGAATGAAGCTCTGTATTTAGTTGGATATCCTAGCGAAATCGGTATTGGAATATTTCAACCACGTTCTGTTTTAATTGAACCAGGAATTGTACTTATTTGGGGCGGAACACGTTATTCTTCTACGTTCCGTGTTATTTATAAGTTAAATATGACAGTAACTCCATGGAAATGGGAGCCGATAGTGAGAAATGTAAGTATTATATTAACTATTAATTGTTATTAAACAAACATAATAAAGTAATTGCTTCATATAGATGACGACTGTTTTAAATTCCGTTGGAATTGCTCGCTCAAGAGAAAGAGTATTTATTTTCGGCGGCATAGATAAAGTTAATATACCTTCTACAACCGTAGGAGAAGGGGTCCCAATGAATTTATCGTATATTTATGACATTACAAAATCTCAAATTCTTAAGCCAGACTATCAACTTCCCTTTGCTTTTACTCATTCAGTAGTAGGTGTTGTTGGCGATTTTATGTATATTGTTGTGTTTAGCTATAATGATTTTCTTGAGAATAGACAGATGTCTATTATTCCTCTTAATCTTGCTCAACTTAAATTTGAAACCTCTTTTGAAACATCTTCTAACTCAACAAAAGCTCGACTTCGTGCAGCGGGGGTTCAACCCCCTGGATCAGATGTAATATTGGTAAAAGAAATTCTCGCTCTATTTTATGTTTGTATCCTATATTAAATATTTACTACGATATTAAATTGACAGATATACGGAGGTGTTACTTATCAAAATTCAAGTTTGCCCGATACAGGTATTACATCTGACACAATGTTAGTATATAACATGACTCTTCGTTCGTGGACAGATACAGTAAATCTTGTTACAGATGCTTCAGCATATCATTTTGCCTTTCCTAAAGAAAATCTTTCTCAGCCAAGTCCTTCAGTTACACCAACCGCTTCAAACCTTCAAAATCTTCAATGGCCAACAGCAGCGATTGTTACTACTACAATACTTGCTATTATAATAATTTGTATGATAGTTGTTGTGATTTATTTGATCAAAAAATTAAAATCTCAACGTCAAGTAGTTGAAACTCCAGAATACGGAAATGAGGTTGTGAAATCATTTTGTTGCTAATGATAAACCAGTAGTATAGTGGACTATAAAGTGGTAATTTCGCAAAGTACAATTTGGTTTTAATAAATTTATTTTTTTAAAAAAAATATTAGGCTATATTATTTGTATTTTATTTCTATTACCAAGTTTTGATCAGAATCAGGTTAAAGTTGACAATAAAACAATTTTTGTTAAAACTTTTTTTAAAAACCAATATAAGTCTGAAGCTTAAAATTTTATGATATTCCAAGAGTTACAGTATATTATAATTGTTTTATAAAGATTCAAAAAAAAATTATTTATTTACTAAACAGAGATTAAATAAAAATATAATTTTCGTCGCGACTGGTGCTGAAATTTGCTGATGCTGAAATTTGGGGTCTCGATTTGAAAATATAAGCCCTGCTAAAATCCACATACAAGTCACTCTCGTTATAGTGAAGTGATCCGTTCCATTAATAAAAATTTTTTAAAAATTCATTATATCGAGAGT